TGCTTGAGAGAGGGGGGGGGGCAGGGGGGGTCGCTTTGCGGTTGGTTTGGGTGTGAGACGTGAGAGGCGGTGGAGTCAGAGCTCGGCTCGCATGGGCCCTTGGCGCCTCGCTCCTGAGAAGTCCGAGGGGAGGAGGAGAAAAGGGAGCTGAGAGACACAGCTGGAGTCGTTTCTCTGAGCAGATGAGAGGGTGCAGGACGTCGGAGGAGAACCCCACTTACGGGGAGCACGAGGCAGCGGACGGGCGAGTGAGGGAAATGGACGAAGGGAGGCCTGAGAATGAGAATCATCCAAGCAGCAGGAGCCTCAAGTTCTGGGACGAGGGGAAGAGAATGAGGCTCGGCCAGGAGTGGGGTCCCCGTCAGCTTTGACATTTTAGTAGGAGAATTAAAAGCCAAGGGAAACCCTGGAAGTCGGAGAGGCCGAGGCTCTCAGGCTGCCACTGGGTCCGACCCGAAGGAAATGGGGCACCTCCTCACAGGGAGCTTGTGCACTTCAAAGCCCTAAAAATATAGGCGGGGGATGGGAGCGCATGGCGGGAATGATCCAAGGCTTCCCCCGCCACATTCTCACAGCCCCGGTGAGATGTCTGGCTAAGTCTTTCCTCTGTGACGGTGAGGCCTCTCCCAGCCCGGCTGCTACCTGTCCGCCCCACGCTTGTGCCCTCCCCAGCCCCCCTTCTCTTCATGCTGCCATTAACGTGCGGGCGGGGACTTGGTTATTTTAGAAGAAACGTGCCGAGTCTCTTCTCGCTTGGCCTGAAGTGGGGGGACCCTGCCGTCATCTCTTATTTCTTCTGCTGTCGCATTTTATTACTGAGGCGTCTTGTGCTCCAAAGAGACGGTAGCTGACAGAACCTTCCAGTTAGATCTGAAGCTGATGTGATACCTGAAAAGCCTGTGTTCATACTAGAGACGAGCCAGGAGCTCCCTCTTCCGTCTCAGGTGGCCTCCTACGTTTTGCTGTCAAAGGACCTAGAAAAATCCCTGCCCCAGAGCCCTTCCGCTTCCCCCCCACGCCCCTGTGACTCCACTGCCATCACCCAACGTTAGTGATCTGCTGCTTCTCCGGAGAAAATCTGGCTGCAGCCTTGTGGGGAGAGGGGACAGCAGTGAGCAGCGACAGACAATAAATGTCCTCGGTGTTTGTGTGAGGGGCTGCCTGAGATCCGGGAGGATGCCGGGAAAGAGGACACCTCCCAGGCCTGTTACCTGCCGGCCAAAAAGCCACTCAGGGCGATGTCCTTTGGTCTAAAACCCGCCTTCCGTCTTTGTGTCCTGACTCACAAACTTCAGAAGCCACCACGAGAGCTCGGGAACTTGATAATGCTCATCCCAGCTCCTGTCCTTACAGACACTTCCTATCGCTGACATCCGCCTCCCCCGCCGCCCCCCAAACATCTCTATCTGGGTCTTGACTGGGCTCCCTTCTGGGTCCCGTCCCTGACTCCACTGACCCGAGAGGCTGTTCCTCCCGAGACAGTGCCCACAGGTCGGGCTCTGTCGAACTTCACAGGTTGCTTCTCTTCTTAACTGTTCCAGTTCGGGGCAGGTTAGGAGGAGACAGGCGTGTGGGGTGGAGGCGGCGCCTCTCACAGAGCGTCGCTGGCCCGAGGCCAGATCACGCCTGGAAGGTGAGTGGATGTAATAAGCAGGAAGGTAATGAAGATGGGCGACAGGTACCTGCCTAGAAGCAAATGGCCCACGTGTCAAAGACTACATCTGTGTGAGCCCCGAGCCCAGC